TTCCCTCTTATTCTTATCAACAATAGTAATAGTAACATTTCAAAATTTAGTATATGCCAGGTGCTATGCTAAATCGTTTACCCACATTGTTTCATTTAATTCTTATAACAATCCCACAAGTTAGATATGATTATTATCCACATTTTATAGATGAGCACACTGAGGCTCAGGGAGGTTAGGTAATTTGACAAAGAACACACAGCTAGTAACTGAACATGAAGCCCTGGCTTTTTTACTCCACACTGTAGATTCTTAACCACTGGGTAAACCTATTCTGTAGAAATCACATCATCCAAGCACTGGATTGAAAAGCCAATAGTAACTGGTGGTGAGAACACCAGTAATATCTGCGTTCACAGATGCCACAGGCTGCAAATGAAATTTCTGCTTCTTGCATGGATATGTCTTTCTACCTTATTCACAGGTGACTTTCCTGCTTATCCTTTGTCTCGATGAAGCATAAAGAGTGAACTTTGCAGACAGACACCTGGATTTGAGTTCTGACTCTGCCAATTCATTGGCTGAATGACTCCTGCAAGTCATTGAACTCCTCTGACGAAGGAGGGAAAGTAAAGTAAAACAGGGAAAGCAAATCCTTTAGCACAGGCGGTGGCAAGGAGTATTCACTTATACATCACCTGGCTCAGAGTAATCTCCATCCCTGATCGTTTTATTCTCTTTTTGCTTTTCCTCTACCACAGCGTAACTGGACACTGTTTTCCCAGGATTATTTCTAGACTTATTTTGTTTGGGAATATCTAGGTCAGTGGTTCTTAGAGTGAGGTCTCTGAACCAGCACAGCAGCATCACCTGGGAACTTGTTAGAGATGCAAATACTCAGATCTCATCTCAGAGCCATGAAACCAGAAACTCTGCACTCCGTGTTTTTAAAAGTCCTCCAGGGGATTCTGATGCACATTCAAATTTGAAAAACACCGTCCTAAAATGTCAGTTTAGGAAAATAACTTTGAGCACCTGTAAAATGCTCACATTTCACAACCCTCTCACGTGTTTGAATTCTTTTGACTCTCACAAAACAATCCTGTGAATCAAGCAAAACAAGAAATATTATACCTCTCTTTCAAAATGAGGAAATTTAGTATCGCTTGAGGCCACAGAGTCAGTGAATCGCAGAGCAGAACAGCCAGGTCTACTTCGTCCTAGCTTGGCCCTTTTCTTGACCTGATCCTGTCGAGGCTCAGGAGTGACCTCAGGTGGTGGAGATCAACTCCCAAAGCCCCTCAGTCAATGTCAAACAAGCTAGAACCCTGCTGCTTTGGACAAACCACCTTCCCTCTCTAGACCTGAACTTCTTATCTGTAAAATGAGGTAGTTGAACTTCACCTACACATGGTTCCCATTTGATGCCAAGGAAAATAAAGGATTTGTGGCCAAATAATTTGGGAAATTCTTCGTCCTACTTAACC